GGGCGGGGGGGAGCCGGTGTGGCAGCATCCTCGGGCCAGGTGGAGGCAGAGGTTTTGCATGAAATTCATTTCGATGAACCGCAGCCTGAGCGCCGGGCTGAGCAGCAGCCCTTGGAGAGGTGCCGCGATCCCAAATCGGCCTCGTTTTACCTTTGGCAGACTTGGCTGCAGATGGGTGTCCGCCCGGGTTGCTCTGGCCTGGTCTGATCTCTGGTGTGGAGTGTCGTTGCCCCGCTGACGGCCGGCAGAGAGGATCTAATCTGACCTGACTCCCATCTCCGCTGCTGAAGGAGTCGGCTCGGTTTGCAGATGAGGTGTGAATCTGCCCAGCTCCAGCTTGGACGTGCTCTCCGGGGCAAAGCTACCTGGCGAGCGCGTCCTCTGCTTTTCACAGCTCGGCTGCCTGCCTTCATTCCTGCCCGTCTCGGCTTATTGAGTGTGTCGTGTCCCCAGGGTGTTTCGGCACCGCTGCTTTGGCCAAGCCCCCTGGGGAGATGTCCCCTCTTCGCACCTTGCGTGATGGCGGCCACGCTCCCCGCCGGTGGGGGCTGCCAGGCAGCGGCACGGCAGCTCTCCTGCTCACAGCCGTGCTGTGTTGCTGGAATGCAAAGGCAGAGCCTGTTTTCCCATGGCCATTCCAGGGCGAGGAGCACAGACCCCTCTTTGTGCCGTGGGGGGTGAGGGAGGGCTCGGCTTTGTCCCGCCGTGAACAAATGCGAGCTGTCGGTCATGGCATGCCAAGCCGGTGCCATCTAGAGCGTGTGTCACGCCCGGCGCTGAGACGTGAGCGTGGCACAGAGGGGAGCGCGGCTGACCGGTGCCACCTTTGCCGCCGCAGTGAATTGGGTCTGTCTGAGTTAGTGTTTGCCACTAAAAGTAGGTCCGTGGTTCCGCACCGTGGCAGGCCGGCTGGTGCCGCAGACGTGCGAGGCTGCAAACCTTTTGGCTGCTGCAGCCGCGAGGCATTAGACCCTGACACGAAAGTCACCGCACCGAGTGCCACTCTGCTGCTGTTGGGTTTTCTGCTCTTGCCGAACGCATTACCTCCGAGGTGACGCATGCCAGCCCCCCCCCTCCACCAGCGCCAAGGTGACGGGGCATGTTCCAGGTCAGGGCTCGCTTCCCGCTTCGCTTTGCTTTAAAGTGCTGTTGTCGAGGTGCTCTGGTCCTTGTCTGACCTACTTACTTACATCTGGCTGCTTGGAAGGAAGGCAGATTTGCTCTGCCAAAGAAGTAGCTTTCTGCTGGGAAGCAAAGGTGGGAGGAGGGAGCGGGGGGAAAGTGCCCTCCTAACCAGGGGCTGAGCGTGTTGGGTTTCTCCTGCTGGCTTTGCCAGGGCGGCTCTGGAACGAGCACAGCTCCCAGGGCTTGCTCCTCGCTCTGATGTTTTGAGGTTGGTTCAAAAATTAAACAGTCTTTTCCAGAACGGAGCCGGCTTTTTCGTCACCGGCCTCGGGGGGGCTGCGGTACTGGGAGCTGACACTTGCTGTGGGGTCTCTTGCCACACAGAGGCCGTGGAGATCCGTGCCCTGGTGTAGTGCTGGGGCTCGGATGGGCCTTGGCCCATCCCTATTCACCTTCCTTCCTCTGGTGTCTCCCACATGCAATACCATAACCGTAGA